GGGCGCCTGGGTGGCTCAGTCGTTGAGCTAATGCCTTCGGCTCAGGTCATGATCCCAGGGTCCTGGGATCGAGCCCTGCATCAGGCTCCCTGCTCAGCAGGAAGCCTGCTTCTCCCTCTCCCACTCCCTCTGTGTTCCCTCTCTCGCTGTGTCTCTCTGTCAAATAAATAAAATCTTAAAAACAAAAAATACTACCAGGTGACAGCATATCACCATTCAATGTCACCATTCAAATAAGACTTCTACTAAAGCTATAATGAAAACGTGATAAACAAATTTGTCTTTCCTTTCTTTCCCAAACTTACCAGTGTCAAGACCTCTTTGCCAAAGTAGCTTTGGCTACTTGAGTCACAAAATAATTTATTTTTTTTAAGAGTCACAAAATAATTTATTTTTTTAAGATTTTATTTATTTATTATTTGACAGAGACAGAGATAGCAAGAGGAGGAACACAAGCAGGGGGAGTGGGAGAGGGAGAAGCAGGCTTCCCGCCCAGCAGGGAGCCCGATGGAGGGCTCGATCCCAGGACATGACCTGAGCTGAAGGCAGATGCTTAACGACTGAGCCACCCAGGCGCCCAAGAGTCACAAAATAATTTAAAAGAAGCTAGTTCAACCTAACTTGCTTGCACAATTTCAGATTTTTGTTGATATCATGAGGTCTAAGCTGGACATCCTAAGAACTAGAGCATTGGCATCTAGGCGGGCTCCAGAGTATTCTTTCTCAGGAAAGTGTTAATCCTGAGGTCTCTTCCTTTCTTGTCTTTGCAATCCTATGACACAGCTGATGTCGCTTGGGTTCTCCCCTTCATATCTGATATCAACCAATAAGGTGCATAGCAAACTTATTTAGATCCCACATACAACTAAGAGAAAAGTGAAAGGCAGTTTTAGGACAAAAGGGATGTGTGTTTCTGTTTAATAAAATGCACAAATCCATGGGATGCCTGGCTGGCTCAGTCGGTTAAACGTCTCTCTTGGGCTCAGGTGATGATCCCAGGGTCCTGGGATGAAGTCCTGCATCGTGCTCCCTGCTCAGCGGGGAGCCTGCTTCTCCCTCTGCCTGCCGCTCCCCCTGCTTGTGCGTGCACTCTCTCTGACAAATAAATAATGAATCTTAAAAAAATAAAATGCACAGATCCAAGAGATAGTGGGAGAATAAACATTAACTAGAGAAGCTTTGACTTCAGATCTTGACTGCTTAAGTCAGGTATCAAAAATAGCCATGCCCCTGGCCCCTGCACAATTTAGGGCACTAATTTAAAAATTAGTGATTTAAAATGTAAAGTCTTTATTTAAAAAAATTTTAAATAACCATGCCACCCCCAATTATTATAGCCACCTTAAACACTTATTAAAAGTCATAGTTCTCTCCACTAAGGAGCTTAAAATCAAAGAAAGGTAAAATGTTGATTCTGGTTGAAACTGGGCATTAGGTAAATGGGAATTCATTATACTACCCCTTTAACTTCTGTTTGTCTGAAAATGCCAATAATGTTTTTTCTTTCATCTAGTTAAGGGAGCTAAAACATGATTAAAAAATTAATTATCAATAGAAGACAGTAACGTTCCAAGAAGGGAGAAAAAACTCCAGGCTATAATGGTATTTGCCCGGAAGGGATTCTGAGAACAGGGAAGGAAATGCCAACCATCAGAATAATGGATTAAAAGGAGCCATGATTAATGCCTCCGGCCCTAATATGGCAAGGGGATGTTCCCAAGTTCAAACCACTTTCCTGGGGCGCCTGGGTGGCTCAGTCGTTAGGTGTCTGCCTTGGGCTCAGGTCATGAACCCAGGCTTCTTGCTCAGTGGGGAGTCTGCTTCTCCCTCTCACTCTGCCTGCCACTCCCCCTGCTTGTGCTCTCTCTCAAATAAATGAATACAATCTTTAAAACACACACTTTCCTGGAGTCTCCTTCCTTATGACTTTCCTCCCCACCCACCTCCACACACATGCACCCACCCAACTGCAGCTCAAAGCAGGAAGTTGGGCTCCACTGAGTCAGATTTGACTCTACAGTAAGAAAACCGACAAAACTTTCCAGCAATGTACTCCTCTGGTCTTCTATGTCTATTCTCTTCTTGTCTGTTCATTTTCTCTCCCAGGGCTTGCAACGTCTCCTATGCAGAAACAGTTTCAAGGACCTCATTTTCTTCCACAGAATTCTAGCACTGTGGCAGAAATATGACATGAGCTGGTAAGGCAACCTGGAGAAATTTCAAGGTTTTCTGTCACCTACACTTTGTTTTTATGCTAGTCTGAGTCATGGGTATTCTAAAAGAGGAAGAGATTTTAAAAATACACTTAATAAGCAACAGTAATGAGTGAGGAGATATAAGCAATCTGGAGCCTCATCTAGAGAATGCTCTTCTTCCCTCCCTTTTTTCTCCTTTATTTTGTATCCTCTTGGTCACCCACTTTCTTCTTCTGTGTCTTCTATTCTCAACTCTTTTACTACTTCCCTCCATTATGGGGACTTACTACAAGTATTAATTATTCAAAAGGTATAGGGAGTGTCAACACAAAATGAGAATTGGAGCTCATGGATCCAGACTCCTCTATCACCTTAATTATGTAATTAGCTACAAGACTGGTTGGGAGCTGAAGAAAAGCATAAGGTGGAAAATGTACAACACCTACCACCACCACACATGTTATTAATGGCATCCCTTCTCAACTACATGCACACTTTCCTGCTCATATAAGCAGCAGTCACTGAAGTAGGTAGGACACTGTTAAGACGTGAAAGTGTTAGATCTGTCCACAAGATGGCAGTACGACTTTGGAGTGTACAGCTTAATAGGAAATTTTGCAGTGGTATAAAATACAAATAAACTTAGAATTTTATTTATGTAGCTGATGTCATGAATTATATTTCAGTTCCTACCACATTTGAACAGGATTTTTTGTTTGGGTCACAGTTATGTTTTGAGGTGGGGGTGAAGAATTAGGGAACATTCTAAATAGGGGTGTATCCCATAGACCCTGAACTGTTGGATGAAGTTCCAATGACTGGAACTCTCAGGGGTGCAACTAATTTGGGGGTAATGCTTAAAAAGTACTGGAAACAGAGATTTATGTCCCGTGTTAATGAATTTGAACTTTATCTTGAAAAACATGGGGAATCATTGAAAAATTTTAACCAAGTGGGCAACTTGATCAGAGCAATGTTTCTCCAGCCTCGCTCATCGGTAGAACACCTTAATGATTTTTGCCGTATCACCAATAGTTTACTCACTGTTGTTTAAACCTAATTTTACTTTTTGCAAATGTATTTAAAGAGGAAACTCATTACCAGCATTGCTTGCCATAATATTCAAAATAAATGTACAATTATTGAAATGGAATAGTGTTCATTTATGAACAACTTAAAATCATCTCATGCACCACTAGTGTTAAGTCGGCCACACTTTGGGTCACTCTCCTCTGTGATATGCACTGAGACAGGGGTACCCCCCGAAGGCACAGAAATTGGATTTGCACCAGATTCTTAATGGCCAGATCGGGACTTAAATGTCACCTGAAATCCTGTTAGACAGTTGTAGAAGTCAAGTAAATCAGCCACAGGCCAAAGAGTTAGACATAAGTTTGTCTATGCGTTGTAAATGTCTACAGCACCACCAACCCTTCTGAAATTTTAATGTGCAAATTAATCTTGTAAAATGCAGATTTTGATTAAGTATGGAGATTCTGCATTTCTGACTCCAAATGGTATTGATGCTGTTGGTTTCCCAACCGTGCTACAGTAGCCGACTGTAAGTTCCTGAAGGGCAAAGACCACGCCTTCATCTTTAGCAGTGTCTGACACAAGGCGATTTCACGGTTAATACTCATTGAAAAGTGAACTTTCTTCCCCCGGATAGTCACATGACTCCCAATACGCAGCTTTCAGCTCAGAAGTACCCCCAACACACACCCCTACTCTTCAAAACATTTTGTTTTCTCACACGAAAATTATAGTTAAGTTTTTGTTTTCTACGTAGCCCGAGCCTAAGAATATAAATTTCATGAGAGCAGAGACCTTAGTTGTGAGGACTGCCTCGGTTTCAGGATTCATCCATTTGTGTCTCCCGCCCGTTCTGGGAGGCAGAGCAGCGAGTTCATTGGACAAGACCTCTACCCTCATAGAGCTAATGATCTAGTGAGGACTTTAGCAAGCAAGAAGCAGTCACGCCCGGCTTCGAAGTCCAAGTCTCTGCAGAAAGGCAAATAGATAGGGAGGACTCTCCTTAAAGCGCTGGCTGTGCGGGAGCTCGAGAGCCGAGCTGAGCCGAAAGACCGCGGGAGGAACCCGGGGAAAAGGAGCTGTCTCATTGGACAATCCGGATCGGGAGAATCCAAAGTGGCGGGGGTGGGTTGTGATGGGCTGTCCTAGAAGTAGCCAGAGCAGGATTACAGAGTGGATATCCGGGCCAGGACGAGAATCCGAAAAGTGGTAACATAAGTAATCTGAGTATTTACTTACAAAACTTTGCTTCCGCCTATACTGCGTCTTGGAGGAATTGGACTGGCCCAACCTCCTCCAGGGAGCAGTAGAGCGCGGTCAGCATAGAGAGTCCTCTTCACGTAGAAGGCGTGGGAAAGAGCGCGCGGGGGATGCTGGGAAACTCCTCTCGTCAGCCACCATCTTGCTTTCCTTTAAGCCGGCCGTGACCGTGGATTAGAGCAATCTTGAGCCATGAAGCTGCTAAGCAGAGCCGGGTCCCTTTCGGTGAGCACAGCCGGTGGGCATGGGGAAAGGTTGAGGAGCAGTTTGTCAGCAAGGTGATACGGACCGGAGGTGCTTGGTTTGGAGCTCCGGGGCCTTGGGCTTCCGTCTGCCCTTCAGCCGAACTCTGCGGGCCAAGTGGTCTGCAAGGGGGGTGGGTCGGGCATTGGAGGCCCAGCTCGTGCTACGCGCAGAAGAGACCTAACGCCGGAGAACCTGAAAAGAAAAGGGAAAGGCCTTGAGAGCGGAGGTGACGCGACTCGGTGGAGAGACCTCTGAAGGTCACTGCTGCACTTGGCGTGCCCGAGGAGGAAACCGCGAGTCCTGGTGGGCAAGGGGCCGGCGTAGACCTAGCCCTCCACCCTCACCGTCAGCTCTGGCCTCTGCTTCTTAGTGTGTCACGGAGCATCAGTTTCCCCAACGGTTAAGTGGGCTTATGAGCAAAATCTTAAGGAAGAAATGAGCTAATGCCTGTATAGTGCTTATCACTGTTCTAGAACTTATTATGGTGCCCTGGCAGGATAACGTGTTGTTCTTGATGTCTTGTTAGAGAATTCTAGGAGGGGCTCTTGGTCAGTCCTCGGGAGCTGCTTAAGACTCCTCCTTCAAGCCCAAGCGAAACATAGCTGTCACTTGGGGAAAACTCCTCAAATGTCAGTGTACTACCACCAACGGAGTGGTAGTTAGTTATCAAGAGGGGAGGGGAGGAACACTTAAAAATCTCAGCTTGGCCAGTTTTGCCCCCAGGGGATAGTTGGCAATATCTGAATACATTTTTGGTTGTAACAACCTGTGGGGAGTGCAGCTGGCATCTAGAGTCCAGAGGTGCTGCTAAATATCCTACAGTGCACAAGCACATCCTCCCCACACACAACAAAAAATTACCTAGCCCAAAATGCCGACAGTATCTGGGTTACTAGGGAAATAGTAACCTGCTAGAGAGAGATGCAGAAAAACAGGGAATGGAGTTTCTCTGTGCCTAATGTTTAAATAGACATACTGTGGATTATACAAATGGTTGTAATTTAAATTGTAATATAGCCTAAATTACCCTTACTGCCACACCTAGACAAACTAGTGATTAACAACGCTGAGAGCTGCCTAGAGTGGCAAAAGACCCCAGATCGCCTCCATTCTATCCATCCCAACTTTCTAGTAGATGAAGGAACTCAAAGGTAACAGTTGGAGAGGACCAAGTTAAACAAATTGCAGTAAACTTGAAAGCAATGTTTCTAATTATATCCCTTATTTTACAAAAGAATAAATTTATACATATTTTGTTATTAAAATTATCTAGTAATTGACAATTACGAGGATAATTCTTTGCAGCTGATTTGAATGGGACAAATTATAGGCAGTATATAATCAAAGTGTCACTATTCTTGAGGTGAAAGCACCTAAATCTCCCTTGGCCATGGAACTATAGATTATTCATATTTGAACAGCTGTGCTCACATACCTTAAAATTTTACTTTTTAGAAAATCAAAAGGCAGAATCACAAGTAGGGTTAACTATACCACACTCAGCAAACAAAATTGATGTAAAACAAAGCTAATTGTAATTTATAGTTAAAAAGTACTAATAGCGAGTGAAAACTAGGAACCAACTCAGTATAGGACTGATGTTGAATATTTAACAAACACCCCTTCAGGACATCACTGAGTTGGGGCATTGCGGCCTCTGATGGTAGTCCTCATGAAACTCCAGTAGTATGTTCATTTGATTTTGGGACATCTCTTCTAATAACCTTATGAGCCTTAGAATGAATTCTATAGCATTGTATATCATTTACCCAAAAAACAATAAAGTTACGCATTTGGATCAATTATCCAGCCTTTAAGAGGACCCTTTTAGGGTGCCTGGGTGGCTCAGTTGGTTAAGTGACTGCCTTCGGCTCAGGTCATGATCCTGGAGTCCCGGGATCGAGTCCCACATCGGGCTCCCTGCTCAGCAGGGAGTCTGCTTCTCCCTCTGACCCTCTTCCCTCTCGTGCTCTCTGTCTCTCATTCTCTCTCTCTCAAATAAATAAATAAAATCTTTAAAAAAAAAAAAAAAGGACCCTTTTACCTTTCCAGTGGCTGCATATAATGAACTGAGAATCTGCTGTAGCTGAATCTATTGTTAATCTCAGGATGATATAAATGTGTATTAGTCAAAGAAATAAAGCCCTTGGTTGTGTGGTCTTACTGTAGCACCCAAGAGAGTGAAGATACTGTGTGAAATATTGGGGTCTTGGAGGAATTTTCCTTGGTATACTTCGTCTTTTTTAAAGGTTACTAAAATGATTATGGAGATGAAGTCATTTCACTTGGGAGGTAGACTAAAATGAGACTGGGCAGATAAGGGAAACAGTAATGCTAATATCTAATAAAAGGGTATGGGTGTGGCAGTCCTACACTTTTTCAAAAAATTCCAAAGCAGGGGCGCCTGGGTGGCTCAGATGGTTAAGCTTCTGCCTTTGGCTCAGGTCAAAAAAAATTCCAAAGCATTAGAGCCAGGAAGAGCCACCTGAAGCTTTAATAAGGTAGTTAACAGAAAAGAAAAATACAGTGGTTCTTTACATTCTAAAAAAATGAAAATGTAGGATTAGGTATTCCTTCAGACTCTACAAATCACACATAAATATAGAGATTTAAGAGTGGTTGGGAAATAATAAGTCCGCTAAATCCAACCTTGAAGATATATTATCACTGAATACCTGTTGCTTGGGCACACCAGAATACAAGACATTTTTCTTGAGAGAAATGTGTGTAACCTGTCTTTTTTGTGTTCAGAGATTTTATTCCCTGAAAGTTGCTCCCAAAGTGAAAGCCACGGCTGCCCCTGCAGGAGTGCCTTCACATCCTCAGGACCTTGAGGTCAGTCCCACTGAGTTACTCACTGGAACCCATACACACCTTACTGTCTTTGGTAATAGAACAGCGTTGATCACATCTCACTTTATCTTAAATACAGTTTACCAAATTACCAAATGGCTTAGTGATTGCTTCTCTGGAGAACTATGCTCCTGCATCAAGAATTGGTTTGTTCATTAAAGCAGGCAGTAGATATGAGGACTCCAACAACTTAGGAACCTCTCATTTGCTTCGTCTTGCATCCAGTTTGGTAAGCATCTTTACTACCTCACTCTGTTCAGGAATGCTATGGTATCTTTTTTTTTCCATTAAAAATAATGCATCATATATTATTCAAAACACACAAAAGGATTTATGTAACATGTAGGTTATAAAGCATACAGTCAATAAGCACCTCTGAATGTATCACCCAACATATTCGAACATTATCATTAAAATCAATGTTATTTGTGTCTCCTTCCCTTCCCACCCTCTACACCCCAGATTAACTATTCTAAAATGTTTGCTTTTTCTTCCCTTTTCTTTTGAAATAGTTTCAATAACAAATGTTTTTCATATTAACAAAAACTTTTTATCCATATTTGTTTGTCGTCGTGGTCAATTCAGTGTTACTCTGGGATAATATTTCATTACATTCTCTTTTTTTTTTCCTTTTTTTTTTTAAACTAACATAGAATTATTTGTTTCAGGGGAACAGGTCTGTGATTCATCAGTCTTACACAATTCACAGCGCTCACCATAGCACATACCCTCCCCATGTCCATCACTCAGCCACCCCATCCCTCCCACCCCCCTCCACTCCAGCAACCCTGTTTGTTTCCTGAGATTAAGAGTCTCTTATGGTTTGTCTCCCTCTCTGGTTTCGTCTTGTTTCATTTTTCCCTCCCTGCCCCTATGATCCTCTGCCTTGTTTCTCAAATTCCACATATCAGTGAGATCATATGATAATTGTCTTTCTCCGATTGACTTATTTCGCCTAGGAATGCTATGGTATCTTGATCCTACAGAAAAAAACTATTGTGTTTTTTGGCAAACTTCGTTTTATAATTCTTAAACTAAAAAGGGATCTGCTGTTTAGGTAAAGTTCTTTTTTAATCTAATGACAGTTAGACATTTAGATTGTGATATTGTGTGATTGCAAACTTAGCATTAAAAAATTACTAAAAATACAGTTCTTTCTTTTTCCAGACTACAAAAGGAGCTTCATCTTTCAAGATAACCCGTGGAATCGAAGCAGTTGGTGGCAAATTAAGGTTTGTCAAAAATAAGTAGCAGGAAATAGTGAAAACACCAGAAAATATTCGATCATGAGGGAATTTACCAGCATGATTAAGGATTTGTTAAACAGGCACAAGGACGAGAAGGCTAATGAATTTAACTACATCAAAATGTAAAACATCTTTATGCCTTAAAGTGAATATTTAAGTAACTGGCAGTAAATGTTTGCAACATACGTAACATGGAGAGAGTTATTTGGAAAAATAAAGAACTACAAATTAGGAGAAGACAAGCAAATAGAAAATGGATGGACAGGGCGCCTGGGTGGCTCAGTCATTAAGCGTCTGCCTTCGGCTCAGGTCATGATCCCAGGGCCCTGGGATCGAACCCCGCTCATCGGGCTCCCTCTCCCACTCTGCTTGTGTTCCCTCTGTCTCTCGCTGTGTCTCTCTCTGTCAAATAAATAAAATCTTTAAAAAAAAAAAAAATGGGTGGACAAAGGATAGGAACAGGCTATTCCCAGAGGAAGAAGCCAGAAACACTGATCTTTACTTGTAATCACAATGTGATGCCATTACCCATCAGATTTATATATCGTGTTGGCACTGTTAAGGAAGAGGTAGAATCTCTTCTACAATTAGTGGAATAAATTGATAAAACTACTTAGAAAAGAATCAAGGAAAATCTAGTAATACTGAAAAGGAGTGTATCTTGCAACCTAAGTTTTTAATCCACATGCACAAAGATACTGTTTATTTTTGTAAAGACTGGAAACAATCTAATGCCATCTTCAGGGAAATGGGATAAATAAAGTATGATCTAGTGATGTGATGAGACTAGTGCACAGCAGTTAAGGGATTAACTAGATTATTCCAGTTAAATGTTTTGTGGAAAAACGAGATATCTTTAAGGTATGGGCATTTATAATTTTTTTTTTAAACAACATGTAGTGCTTATAATTTTGCTTGTCTCTGGAGTGGGAAGGAGGGAGTGAGGTTAGCCAAAGAAGGGTACAAAGAGATCTTCAGCTTTAATTGCCATTTTTCTTTAAAGATTTTATTTATTTATTTGAGAAAGAAAGAATGAGACAGAGAGCATGAGCGGGGGGAGGGTCAGAGGGAGAAGCAGACTCCCTGCTGAGCGGGGAGCCCAGTAGGGACTTGATCCCTGAACTCCAGGATCATGACCTGAGCCGAAGGCAGTCGCTTAACCAACTAAGCCACCCAGGCGCCCCTAATGCCATTTTTTTAAGTTGTGTTAAAATATACTTAAAATTTACTGCTTTAAGTGTACTGGTCTTTGGCTTGAATTTGGCATTAAGAAACCATCACTACCATCCATCTCCAGAATGTTTTTATGTTCCCCAACTGAAACTCTATAGCTATTAAACAGAAACTCCCCCCGCCCCCCGCAGCAACTCCCTGCAGTGACCATTCTACGTTCTATGATCTCCAGGTTCCTCCTGAAAGTGGAATTACGGTATTTATTCTTCCAACACTGACTTATTTCGCTTAGCATCGTGTCTTCAAGGTTCATCCATGTGTAACATGTCAAGATTGCCTTCCTTGAAAATAGTTTCTTAAATATTTTATATTTTAGTTGATGAATATGTGTATTTTTATACTTCAAAATAATTTTTCCAAAGGAATTGGTTGATTTAACAAAGATGTAAGGAAAGCTTATTCTTCTGATTAGATAATTCACTGTAATTTATTTCTGATGCAGTGTGACTTCAACCAGGGAAAGCATGGCCTACACTGTGGAATGCCTGCGGGACCACGTGTAAGTACCTGCATGAGTTGAGGACACCTGCTTTTAAAGAAACACTTAGCTGCTCAGTTCTTGTCTTTTTTAATGTGGCATTGTGATCTCTGATTTTGGTTTTGGGTTCTTAAAAACTGTAGAACATTGTGTTTACCACAGGCCTAAAACTTAATATTGAGAACATTACCTTTACGTAGCGTGGACGTTGGTTTTAAATTTTTGACTCGACACTCTTATCTTGATGTCTTCTGTAGTGATATTCTAATGGAGTTCCTGCTCAATGTCACCACAGCACCAGAATTCCGTCGTTGGGAAGTGGCTGCCCTTCAGTCTCAGCTAAGGATTGACAAAGCTGTGGCTTTTCAGAATCCACAGGCTCGTAAGTACATTTTCAGATCCTGTTCAGTTCTTTCTAAGATACTGGGTTTTTGAGGGGCACCTGGGTGGCTCGGTTGGTTAAGCGTCTGCGTTCGGCTCAGGTCATGATCCCAGGGTCCTGGGATTGAGCCCCACATTGGGCTTCCTGCTCGGCGGGGAGCCTGCTTCTCCCTCTCCCTCTGCTGCTCCCCCTGCTTGTGCTCTCACTCTCTCTCTGTCAAATAAATAAAATTTTTTTTTTTTTTTAAAGATACTGGGATTTTGAGAAGATCAGTTTGTAGAGGGAAGAAATTGCCATTGAAATTTTTCTCTGCTTGGGTTTAAAACTGCCTTTTCCAAAAATTTGTCTAGTTTCTTAACTATATTCTTGTGTTTCTAAACATTCGTATTGTTGATTATTTTTCATCTTTGATAGTATGTAAGTCAGTTATAGAATCCCTGCTTCAGAATTTAGAATACGGTGTTTTTTCAATAGTTTGCTTACACCAAACCCAGCAACAGTTCATGGTTGCTGCTGGTATTACTGTTTAGCCACTTACCTTTACTGGATCTTCCCAAAGCAAGCAATTTAATTTTTTAAAAAATAAGAACTTTTTAGGTGTTCATACTTTGTGTTTATATAATGTTCAATACATAATCTTGACAAGTATGACTAGCAAAACAGATTAGTAAACAAGCACCACTGACTCTTGGAAGTCCTGCAACTTCGGTAGGAGCAGAAGTGTGCACGTGGGCCCCTCGGGTCTAAACAGGTGACCAGCTGCAGGGGCCTGCATGGGATGGGCCTCACTCAGAACGCAAGCCTGTCAAGTGTCTGGAACAAAGTGAGAGTTTGGTCTGTGTTGGCTAATATTATTTCACTTTGATACTTTGTTTTACAAAAGAATATGATCTTCCTTACTCTGGATCTCCTCCACCAAAGAAATAGATAGAAAATTATAGAAAAGATGACTTACCTACCAACTGTGGTTTCTTCCCCGCTGTTAGCACTGAGGTTCCAGTGCTCATCCTTTCTGTGTGAACGGTCACTGCGGTCTCCCGGCCGCTGTCTGCCCCCAAGGCTGCATCTTCAGTCCAGCCACCACATTGCCCTTGCAGCGATCCTTCTGACATGAAGGTCCTTTAAAGGCTTCTTATCTGTGGGATAAAGTTCAATCTCTTCAACTTAGCATATATGTTAACTTTACAGTTTGACCCCTGCCCACCTCCCTTGCCTCTTGCGCTACCTTCTTCCCTCCCAGGCAGTTCCCCTTTGAATCCCTTGTCATGTTTTATGCCTTTGTCTGTTCTCTCTGCCTGAAATGCCACTCCCTAATCCTTCCCCTGGTAAACACTTATCCATCTTAAGACTCAGTCCAGGGCGCCTGGGTGGCTCAGTTGGTTAAGCGACTGCCTTCAGCTCAGGTCATGATCCTGGAGTCTCGGGATCGAGTCCCACATCGGGCTCCCTGC